CAATGGATCGAATAAACCATAGTACCTACCTACACACCATGGGGTACTAAACAGGTGTTAAAAATGAAAAATATCTTTATGAAGTTATACAGCATGACTTATAGGAGATATGAAAAAGTAACAAAAAAGTATAAAAGAACATACATTGTACCTCTTGTATAAGAAAGAAAGGAAGCATAAGAAATACATATTTCTGCCAACTTTTATCAGAAAAAACAACCCCAAAACAGAGGGAAGATAAACCAGAAAATAATGAAAGTGATTACCAAAAGGGGTGACGTGGAGAGAAGGAGGTGGAATAATACAAGAGGGAATATTTCTGAGTGTATGTGTGTGTATATTTTTCAAAAAAAGTTTTGTATAAATGTTTATACTTTTGGAAGCATGTCACTATTTTTCATATTAAAAATGCCAATGAAAATGGGAAAGGGAGGGGGCGCCTGGGTGGCTTAGTGGGTTAAGCGTCCGACTTTCTCTTAGGTCATGATCTCGCGGTTTGTGGGTTCGAGCCCCGCGTCGGGCTCTGTGCTGACTGCCAGCTCAGAGCCTGGAGCCTGTTTCAGTCTGTGACTCCCTCTCTCTCTGACCCTCCCCTGCTCACGCTGTCTCTCTCTCTCTCTCCTGGAAATAAATAAAAATATTTAGAAAAAAAAAGAAAAGAAAAGAAAATGGGAAAGGGAGGAAAAATCTAAAACAGAATATTTCAAGTGATTATAATAATCACTGAAGAGGGGAGGAGAAAAGAAATAAGCCAAATCACATACATAACCATATATTGTGTCTTGGGCAAGATGAAGTTGTGAAGAGAAAACTAACAAACTCTAAACCTTAGCTGGCTTGTTTATACAGCGGTAAAGCAATTCTGAACCTGTGTTAATATTATTTTAGGATTAAGCAAATGAGTAAATGTGCTCAAGTTGTTGAGATCCAGAACATTGCTGGAAGTCATTCATGTGACAGAACAAAGAGAATGCAGTTACGGAAAAGGAAGAACACAAGAAAGAACCCAGTGGTGATATACCAGCATGATAGAATGGGAGGTATGAGCTAATACTACGTAAAGTTTATGTATATATGTGAATACGCATATTATATAGGGGTGTGTGTGTGTGTGTGTGTGCACATTTCATAGACCTACTGGCTGAAAGGGCCAAGAAGTAAGGACACACTTTAGTAATAAAGAGCTTATTTAGGGCCCACTCATAGAAACCAAAGCTCTTTGGAGAATTGGCTGATTCCATTGCTAGGGCAGGGTAGATACAAAATGAGTCTGGAATATCATATTAGGCCAGAAAGTAAGGAAGTGCTTTAAAAAAATTAGAGCAAATCACAAGGGCACAGAAGCCAGCTTGAAGAGGATCCCAATGGCAAGTACAGCAATGAATTATAAACCACTGAAACAACAGAAAAATCATGATTCCGTACTGTCAATAGTTAGATAAATGAATGCAGAAAGAATGAGAGAAAGCTCTTGCTTATACTATAATATTGATACTAATTAGCAGATATGAAGGAAATGTTGAAGTTGGAAAATCATTATTTTGCAACTACCACAGGGAAGATCAGATGAGGCAAGAATTAAGACAAATGACTGCTAAACCTAGAGGGAGATTTTGATAAGAAGCAGAATATTTTCATGATTTTAAAATATCTTACTAGTTGCAATGAGGGGGAAAAGGTCACATATTGAAGAAATTGGGCAAAACTTTAGATAGGTGCATCAAAATTACTACTAATTTTGATTAGTAATGAATTGCTAATGAAGGAAAGAAGGACACTGTGTGTCTCCAGATACAACAGCTCGAGAAAGTATTTCAGGTAAGAATGCATAACATGAATCTAATTATAAAGAAACATCAGAATATTAAGTAAACATAAAATGAAGGAGATGTATTCTTTTGTATCTACGCTATGAGACAGAGAGAATACAAGAGAAGAAATGAAGTAAAATGTGTGTTTTTTGTTTTTATTTAAATTCTAGTTAGTTAACATATAGTGTAATATTGGTTACAGGGGTGGAAATGAATGATTCATTACTTCTGTACAACACCCGATGCTTATCATAACAGGTGCCCTCTTCAATACCCATCACCCACATAGCCCATCCCCTGCCGGACTCCCCTCCAGCAACCCTCAGTTTGTTCTTTATAGTTGAGTCTCTTAAGTAAAATGTTAACAATAGGTAAATCTAGATTTAAAACTAATGGGATATTCCAGGACGCCTGGGTGGCTCAGTTGGTTAAGCATCCGACTTTAGTCCAGGTAATGATCTTGCAGTTCATGAGTTCAACCCCACATCAGACTCTGTGCTGACAGCTTGAAGGCTGGAGCCAGCTTCAGATTTTGTTTCTCCCTCTCTATCTCTCTGCCCCTCCCCTGCTCATTCTCTCTCTCTCTCTCTCTCTCTTTCAATAAACATTAAAAAAAATAATAGGATAGTCTTTGTACTATTTTTTTCTTATAACTTTTCTGAAATTATTCCCAAACAAAAAGTAAGTCTTTTTTTCCTAAAGTAATGCATAAATACATGCTCTTTAGAAAAAAATAAATCAACAAAGAAGGATTAGAAGGGAAAATGAAAATGAACTGTTAACCTCCCAATCTCACGTCTTTGTCACTAGAAGTTAAGCTTCACAAAGTTAGCATTTTTTTCTTTTTCTGTTCTGTTTTTGTTGCTCTACTGTATCCCAGATCAGTGCTAGGCACTAAACAGTTGTATAAATAGCTTCTCAATTATTTCATTTCTTGGAGCAATAAATGAATGAATGAATGAATATGTAAGCACTGTTTATTTGCTATTCTCCTTACTTTAATTAAACATACCTACAGTAAAGTGTTTTTCTAGGTCTTTTTTTAAATAAGTGGAGTCATATTACTAAAAACTAAAGATTATCATTGATAATTCTAATTACTCCTGAAACATGCTTCCCTATTATTATAATCATTTTTGCTGCCTTAATTCTCCAAATCCAATTTCTAAATGTGGTTCATAATACCCTTCAAAGTCTCTTGCATTATTAACTCCTTTCCACTTCTCTTACTATCACTCTACTACCGGCCACCCCATGTACTTGTACTATCTAACTGGTCTTCCTGGTTGCCTTACTCCTTATCTTATTTTTCTCCAATCTATATAATCTTCAAAACACAACTTTGACTATGTTTCTGTCTTAAAATTTTCCAAGTGGCTTTTCATAACCTGTAGAATAATTTCTCACTGATTGCCATGGATCATGATCTGCCTTTTGATTCTTTGTTCTGCCTTGCTTATCACTCTTACTTTTGCATTCAAAGCTCAAAAATTATGCATTCACTCATTCATTTATTCTCACACAGATTAACATAGATTCTATTTAACTTATTTATTTTTTATTATTTTTTAAACTTATTTCTATCTTTTAGAGAGAGAGTGAGCAAGCAGGGCAGAGGGGGATAGGAGGGGAGAGAAAGAGAAAGAGAAAGAGAGAGAGAGAGAGAGAGAGAGAGAGAGAATCTTAAGCAGGCTCAACACTCAGCATGGAGCCTGACGTGGGGCTGAATCTCACGACTGAGCTGAAATCAAGAGTTGACTGCTTAACGGACTGAGTCACCCAGGCGCTCCTGGATCTATTTAACTTCTTTTAATTTCTTGAATACTATATTCTTTTTTGCCTCTTGTACTGTGTGCCTGCTGTTCTCTCTCCAACTCCCATGTCTATATTCACATTTAATTTTGTTAATTTCTGGCCTCCATTAACATATCACATCTAAGAGGCTTATGGCCATTGGGGTTTGGTTAACTGTTCTATGCCTCTACTGCAAATTCTCATACCACCCCATACTTAATCTTTCTGTTTATGTAACTCTGATTAATGTCTAGCTCCCTAATGAACACAAAATTTATGAAAAGTGGGCGACAGGAGAGGGATAAGTATTGGAGAAAGCTCTGTGATGAGGCAGAATACAAAATAAAAGAAAATTACAGCTAATTAGATCTCATGGAAACCATTCCCTCCTTTGTATGACTTCCATATTCACTGGTTCTGTCCCTCTCCATACTTCAGCTCTTCTAGAGCACCGTCTCCACTAGTACAAGATATACTGTTCTAAAACATAAATCTGATCATCTGATAACATACACTCCACACAAATACCATCAATGGTTCCCCAAAAGCAGCAGGGTGATACCAAATTCTTTAGCAGATTATAAAACTCTATACATTACCCTCAAAAACAAACAAACAAAAAACTTTGCACATCCCTATGTCCTGCTAAAGCTGATCCTCCCATCCTTGCATGTATAAAAATCCAAGATTTCTGAACTCATGGTATTTATACCTCAATCTGGACTCTAGTTTTCTTTTGCCCAAATAATCTCCCCTCTTTTCCAACATGTGTTTCCCTATTGAGGGGATTTTTACTACCTCCTTTCTTCATTCCATCTGCTTTGAAACTAAGACCATAGCCATGTAACTAAACTTATCCAAACCTCTTAGGAAGCATCTTAACAGTCAGCAAAAAGTGATCTGAGAATAGATACTATAGCTATACTATCAGACCATTAGTACCACAATTTTGCAACAAAACAAAACAAAGCAGAAAAACAAACCATGATTTACAAATAGAATAACAGACTAAAATAAAAATATCTTCAGAATGAAAAAAGAAAATCAAGTTTACTAATATTTCTCTCTCTCTCTCTCTCCCACACATACTCACATACACAGACTTACTACATGTTGTCCGTATTTAGCAGTTAAAAGAACAAAGCTCTACAAGGAGACCTACAATGAAGATTTCTTTTGGGTGGTATTCTATTTATACTTATTTTAGCAAAGCAATGCACATGAGAGCTATTGATTGGGTAGCACAAAGAAGTTCATTAAAGAGAACTAAATAAAATCTGTCAGGATAAAAACTGCTATATGAAATACTGTACTTTTTCTACTTTATTTTTTCAATTTACTTATCAAGAACTTGCCTCCTCATTCATGGAATGAAACTGTCCCACACATACTTACCTTCGAGGATGATTGGCATCAAACAATGTGTTATCATCATCCTCATCATCTTGTTCTAAAGGTGTCAACTCCATGTTTTCTATGTTAGTATCCAAAACTCCGTATCTTCTAGTCTTTCGGTTTCTTCTTCTCATCCTATTAAACATATTAATAAAAATAATTTTAAATAATTCTTATTTTATTTAATTGTATATTAAAAATAAATTATCCCTCTACTGCTGACGTAGGAGGCCCTCAATATCAGAATGGTTACATTTCAGAAATGCAGATGATCTACTACCTAAGATTTTTTGTGAAACAAAATCTATCCTAATCCTACGTGTTGTGTACCATTTTATCTGTCTGACACTTTCTCTTCTCTATCAGCTGATGGTACAGACATATAAACTTTTAAGCCTTAGTTTGGGTACCATGTTTTTACTGAAGCCTTCTATTCCAGCCTTTTCCCTAACTCTTCCATCCCTTCTTACCATAGGGCAGGATTAGGTGTTTTCTGGCCCACTAAGAAACTCTATCTGTATACATGTTCATATTCTACATTAAATAGTTTACAAACCTGGCTGCACATTAGAATCACCTACAGTATTTTAAAAAGCTCCATACTTAGTCCATATCTCCTTTGGAGAGGAACTAAGTATCCGTATTTTGTTAAAGTTCTACAGGTTATTCCAATGTGGTCAAAAGCACTGTCTCAGGTTAGTGGTTCTTGAAGTATCATTTCCTGGACCAGCAGAATCATAATCATCTAGGAATTTATGAGAAATGCAAATCCTCATGCCCATTCAGACCTAATAAACTTTGAACTTGGTGCCAAGAAACCTATGTTTTAACAAACACTTCTTGCCACTATGATGCATGTGACAGTTTGGGAACCACTGGTTTAGAGGACAGAAAATATTTTAGGATGCTAAACACTGTTATTTGAATTCATATGAAAGTCTCTGATTTAGGATTGCTCTCTATGATTTTGCTCAAATAATTTGTTCTTTTACGTCAAATTATTTATTGTAATTTGCATTTATGTTTACTTGTAGATATGGTGTTTTGAGTGTTTGCCTCTCTCTTCCACTAAGTCCCATTAGGGCAGCCATACATGCTTGTTCACCATTCTATTACTGCTTTGTAGAACAGTTTCTGGTTAAGATTCTCCTTAAATATTTGAGGGTCTGAATGATATATTCTAGCTCAGTGATCCAAATCTGTCCCTACAATCAGTGCCTAAGTCACTTCCAATGCAATAACCTCAAATTCATACACAAGAAAATATGATTTACATAAGTTTCTATGGGAAGTTAAAAACAAAACAAGATATTTCAGTAACAACATATATGTTTATGTTTCTGAGTCACTTTATATCATGTAGTGTGAAAAGATATACTAAGATATACAATGCCAACTGTGAAGAACTATGCAAGCCTCTGCAAATATGACAGTGGGGATCCCATGAGAGACAAACTGTTTCTCACACATATAGATTCAACACACATATACACACAAACGTACTCAAGAAATATTTGAATCTTATGAAGCATCAGGCATTGTGCTAGCTTCTGAGTATAAAGTACCTGGTCTCAGTGATCAATATTTAGAAAATAATACTAACCTGGACAAAAATCTATCCAAACATGTTGGAACAGGAAACAAGGAGTATAGTATTTAAAACTACAAATGTAACCAATGTAAGAGTTAATACTAACATAAAACTAAAAACAATAAAAATAGTAAAAATTAAAAAATAGCAATAAGTAGTATAAGCTAGTCTTTTTTTTATAACAACTAACTAAATGTTTAGGTTGTTAAATTAACAAGTATATCTATATGTGCATGTCTGTATGTATGTATATCTGTGCAAGCACATTCACACACACTCACACCCATGTAGATATCAGGTCTAAACTTTTTATGTAAAGGATCAAATAGTAAATATTGACTCTAGCAATCACATACAGTCTCTTGTCACATATTCACCTTAATTTCTTCTTGTTGTTAGTTGAGTTTTTTACAACCCTTTAAAAATGTTAGAAAAAAAAAAAAAAAACTTGACTTACAGGTCTTAAAAAAACAGGTCAAGAAACCAGATGTGGCTGATGGGCCATAGCTACCAACCTGTGATTTAGAATTATAAAGGAATTCACAGAAATATCAAGAAAATAAAATTACTAACCCCGGAAATAAGAACAGAAAAGTACAAGGGAGTTATACTTGTTATACTTGTTATAACTAATGGCCCTTTTGAACTACATTAACTGAATAACATTTCCATGCATTCTTTTGGTTTAAAAGTTAATATACCAAAGTGAGTAAAGAAACTTGGCAGTGTAAGTTAAGGATATTCAGAGTTAGAATTTCTCCTCTTACCTTTTGCCAGTCTTTCACTCAATTTTCTAAAAAATATGGCTTTTCAAACATTCTGGCATTTTCAGTAAAGAAGAAATTAATGTCACTTGAATTATTTTTGATCCTTCCAGGTCATAGATTATTTAATATGTCAATAACCTTGTCATTGTTAGTCACAGGATACCTTGGCAAGTCTTAAAAAAGGGAATGACACATAGACCTTAATGACTTGAAATTTTAATCTCAGCTGACATTCTTCTTCACTCGCAAGGTCTTCGTGTCTCTTGAGTTAATTCCAAATCTTTAAATGAGTGGCTAAGCCAATGTGGCTAATAATGCTATTTTCTCTTCTTTGTATAGTATAAATGTTTGACTGTATTGGTATGAGCACTTTGTTATTTATTTTAGCTCTCACTGTCCTTTTATCATTTATATAAATGCTATCTTCTATTTTCTTAAAAAGTTTTAAATGTTTTATTTATTTCTGAGAGAGAGAGAGAGAGAGAGAGAGAGAGAGCGAACGAGCATGAGCAGGTTAGAGAGAGAGGGAGATACAGAATTTGAAACAGGCTCCAGGCTCTGAGCTGACTGTCAGCACAGAGCCTGACACGGGACTCGAACCCACGAACGGTTCGTGGGATCATGACCTGAGCCGAAGTTGGACGCGTAACCGACTGAGCAACCCAGGCACCCCTATAAATGCTATCTTCTAAACATGAATCCAATTTTTAAAAAAAATGGAACCTACAGAGAAACTACATTGTTAGGTACCAAATAAACAGGGGAATGCAATTCAATTTAGAAGTTAGCATCTTGGGGCACCTGAGTGGCTCAGCTGGTTAAAGCATCTGGCTCTTGATTTCAGCTCAGTTCATCATCTTATGGTTTATGAGACAGAGTACTGCATTGGGCTCTGTGGTGACAGCGGGAGAGAATTTAAAGAATAAAATTTATTTTAATAGAATTTAAAGTTGAAATGCAATTCCTCAAAAAAGTATTTCCTAAGTCTAAAGATCTAGGCACTGATGGCTACATGGGTGTGACAGCAACATGGGTATAAATACATCAAATACATCCATATTCAGTGATTTTTCGCAGGGTAAGTCAAAAACACTTGCAAAACTTTAAAATTATTGAGCCAATAATTTTAATTGAATTAAACAGATTTAAGAAACTAATAAATTTATTTATTAATTATTTATTGTTAAATTAAGTTATTAATAATTTAAATTAATAAATTTAATTAAATATATTTAATAAACCATCTATTAAAGTAATAATAAAAATTGAACATAAAATACAATACACAAAATAAAAGAATAAATTTTTAGTAAAAAGGCTACCGTTAGCTTTTAATATACAGTATACCTTATCTTTAAACAACTGGTGTAAGGCGGTTTTAAAATTAATGTAATTTAAACAGCTACAATTCTTTTCTCACAAATGAATGCTTTATTTAAGCTCATGACACACAATCTTCTTTATGTGTATCAATAATTACATAAATATATAGATATAGTAAATGCATATTGCAATCTGAAAAAAAAATTTGTTGGCTCTTAATTAACAAAAAATAAGGACTTTATAAATGTATAGAGGAAAATATGGAAGATTAAGGGCAAATATGGTTGATTATATTGAATGATATTTACTCATCACACGGCATGCACAGGTAAATGATCTTGATCAGATCCCTTCTAGGTAATCAAGTTATTATTCCAAGAGCTATCTAATATAGTTTGCAAATTCTTTAAAATTCTATTTTACTCAGGTTGGTAGGAATTATTTCTGTTTAAATAACATGTAAAAGCTACAATACTAAAATAAAACTAAACTACTAAAGTAAGCTTGATAAAATTTTATGTAAAAATGTATGAGGCCACATAAAATAAACACAAGAGAATAAAACTCCATTTCATTTTACTACTCTATGAAAGAGAAAACTGATCAATGTAACTTGAAATACCCATCTGGTTTTATTCTTTTTGTTTTCTTTTCAATGAAAGCCTGTAGGGTATTCAGTATGGAATAATGTAAGTAATATTTCTTAATTTCTTTTACGGCATATTCAAAACTTAACTGAGGAATATATTATTTAGTGGATATTTTATATACACAAACTTTTCTATATGAGAGACATAATGATTAACCAGAGTAATTTTTTAAATTTGTTTAATGCTTATTTTTGAGAGAGAGAGAGAGAGAGAGAGAGACAGAGGGATGGGAAAAGAGAGAGGGAGACACAGGGTCCAAAACAGGCCCCAAGCTCTGAGCTGTCAGCCAGAACCTGATGCAGGTCTCAAACTCACAAACCGCAAGATCATGACCTAGCCGAAGTCAGGATGCTTAACCGACTGAGCTACCCAGGTGCCTCCTTTTTAAAAATCATTTTAATAGAGTAATTCTTAATAAGTAAATGTATAGCTACTACAAAATTTTTTTGTCTTGACTAATTTTGGCAAAAAAGTAAATCAGTGACCAAGAATGATTTTGAAACTAATTATTTTGCCACTGTAACATAATACAAATAAAAATTAGTGAGTCACAATTTTAGCTACCGATGATTTATCAAGAAATCCAACTCAACTGGATATATAACTTATTATAAAAATACTTTTATCTAACATGTCTCTCATGTTTACCCCCCATTGCCAAAATTCAATCCATCAGCTATTACTTCAAGTTCTTCAAGAAGTAGATACCAACAAGAGATATGTTATGGGCTGCTGTGTCTCCTCCAAATTCATATCTTGAAATCCTAACTCCTACTTCCTGAGAATGTGACTTTATTTGAAAAG